ATAAGCATCATATCATCAGAGCCTAACACATTCCACCATAAGCATCAACGGTGTTTGTCAGTATGACCCAACAAAAAAAAAAATCAGATCTAAAGGTCAGGAGTTGCAAAAAGCTAGGTTACATTTTTCTTCTGTCTTCGCCTTGCAGATGAGCGTGTGATGTCTCCTAAATGACGCAACAAAATCCTGCATGTAACGTTAGCAGAGAATATCATTTTTGAGATAACAAACTATTAATTATAAATTAGCTGGCTGGATTACTATGTTGGTAATCCATCTTTTCTAAAAAAAAAAAACTATTAATTATAAAGACGAAAGATAAGGGAGTACAAGAAACGCAACGGAGTCACATATGTTAGAAGATAATTTGTAATTCTAGAAAACTCTAGGATATTTGTAAAAAAGTATGTAAAGTAGAAATATCTAGAATAATTTAGGAAGAAAATATATTAAGCATGGATGTATGTAGAATTATATAGAATTCTCTTGAATTTTGATGTATCATGAAAAATCTAAATATTCTAGAGAATTCCTTGTGAGGCTATAAATAGCCTTGAATGTAAGCTTTATAAATAAGCTTTAAAGCAATTCATACAAAGTTTCTTCAAGTTATTAGCCTCTTCTCAGTTTCCCTCCTATTTTCTCCATTCTCAATCCATCCCGCTTCCTCAACTCCAACAAATTTGGTATTAGAGCCATCCTTTTCCACCTCAAATCAATCTTGAAAGCATTTAGCCTTTCACTACCATTCTAAATGGCAACCTCATCAGCAATTGCCCATTCTCTTTTCAATTACTCTCAAAACTTAGTCCCCATTTTCGACGGCGAAAACTATGACTTCTGGAGCCTCCAAATGAAGACACTCTTCATCTCTCAAGAACTTTGGGAGCTTGTCGAAGAAAGCTATGAAGGTCCAGATGACTCAGCAATGTTAGCATCATGGACACCAGCAAAGCAAAAGGAGTATAAAGAGAACAAGAAAAAGGATGTGAATGCGCTTCTCTTTATCCAACAAGGGGTAAGCAAAGCAATCTTTCCCTAAATAATGTCTGCGTCAAAATCAAAGGATGCATGGGACATACTCAAACAAGATTTCAAGGGCTCTGATAAGGTATAATCTCTATCAAACTACAATCATTATGGAGAGACTTTGACAACATAAAGATGAAAGATAATGATCCGTGAAAGAATTTGCTGATAGAGTTACCTCAATTATTAATCAAATTAGAAGCTATGGGGATAAAATAGAGGATAAGAAGATAGTTGAGAAGATACTAAGAAATCTTCCCCTTACATGGAATCATATTGTTGCTGCCATAGAAGAATCTAAAGACTTATCAAAATTAAGTTTTTATGAACTAATGGCTTCTTTGGAGTCACATGAGCTTAGAAGAAGCAGATTTTTAAGCCAAGAGGTGGAGCAAGCGTTTCAGTCAAAACTAATATTTTCAAGGAAAGGAGGAGATAGAACTAAAGAAAATAAAAATAGAAGATTTTCTCAGAAAGTACAAGATGGAAGAGGAAACTACCATGAAAGAAAGTTTGGGAGACAAGGAAAAATTAATGAGAGAGACAAAGATTTCTCAAAAGGTAAGTCTACCTCCTATTGTAAAATATGTAGTAAGTTTGGACATAACACATACAACTGTAAGTTTAAATGCACAAACTGTAGAAATGCTAATCACTCCCCAAAAAATTGCTGGTATCAGAAAAATAATGAAGTCCACTATACAGAAGTAGAAACCGATCACCTACTTTATTCATGTTTTAATGCACAATCAGAATAAAATGATACTTGATATTTGGATAGTGGATGCAGCAATCATATAACAGGAAATAAGAGCATCTTCGTAGAGTTGATGGATGAAACAAGCTCTCAAATAAAGCTTGGAGATGGAAAATTACAAAACATTAAAGAAAAAGGAGTGATAGCAGTCCAGACAAAAGGAGGTAAGACGAAATACATCTCAGATGTTCTTTATGTTCCGGGGCTAACTCAAAATTTACTTAGTGTGGGACAATTAATCCAAAAAAGATATGCAATCAATTTCTTTAAGAATGAATGTGTGATAATAGATGATAAGAATAAGCAGATAGTGGCTAGAATAAAAATGACTCCTAACAAAGTTTTTTCCTTAAAAATGTCAATAGAGAATCTTGCACTCAAATCAGAAGAAAATAATGATTCTCTATTATGCCATCAAAGATATGGCCACTTAAACTTCAAGAGTCTAAATTTGCTAAAAATAAAGAATATGGTGATAGGACTCCCACACATAAATAAAGAAGAAAATGTTTGTGAAGAATGTATTTATGGAAAAATGCATCGCTTACCATTTACTAAAACATCTTGGAGAGCAAAAGCCCCGTTAGAATTAATGCATTCTGATGTTTGTGGCCCAACACAAACCCCATCATTAAATGGAAGAAGATATTTCTTATTATTTATTGATGATTATAGCAGAATGATGTGGGTATATTTCTTAAAAGCAAAATCAGAAGTATTCTCAAAGTTTATTGAGTATAAGGCTCTTGTAGAAAAGCAAAGTGATCACAAATTGAAAGTTCTGAGAACTGATCATGGAGGAGAGTTCACTTCCAATGAATTTCAAAATTTCTGTAAAAAACATGGAATTAAAAAGGAGCTAACAACAAGGTACACTCCACAACAAAATGGAGTAGCATAAAGAAGAAATAGATTAATTGTGGAGATAGCGAGGAGCATGTTAAAAAGTAAAAATCTCCCAAACAAATTATAGGCTAAGGCAGTATATACAGCAATCTACATCTTGAATAGATTATCAACAAAAGCTGTGCCAGACAAGACGCCACACGAAGCTTGGTATAGGCGAAAGGTGAAAGTGGATTTTTTTTAAGGTATTTGGTTGTATCGCCTATACACATAAACCAACACAACTAATGAAGGAAAAGTTTGATGAAAAAGGAGAAAAACTCATACTTATTGGTTACAGTGAAAAATCCAAAGCTTACAGATTATACAATCCTGATACTAACAAATTGGTGGTCTCCAGAGATGTTATCTTTGATGAAGCAGGAACATGGAACGGTGAACCACATCAAACCTCAACACCAAGCATCATTGAAGAAGAAACGAGGGGAGCCACGTCATATCAAGATTCTCCTAGTCTAAGATCCTCAGATGCATCAACTTCAGACACAGATTCACCGCCTAAAAAGGTGCGTTCACTTCAAGATATTTATGACTCCTATGACATAGCATTCTTCTCCTGTGAACCACAGAAATTTGAAGAAGCCGTCCAAGATGAAGGCTGGAGAAAAGCAATGGATGAAGAAATCTACATGATCGAGAAGAACAAAACATGGGAGCTGGTGAATCTTCCAGAAGGAAAGGAGGTCATTGACTTTAAGTGGATATACAAAACCAAGTACAATGAAGATGGCTCCGTTCAGAAACTCAAGGCTCGATTAGTCGCGAAGGGTTACTCTCAACAACCAGGAGTCGACTTCAATGAGACATTTGTCCCAGTTGCTCGTATGGAGACCATAAGGACAGTATTGGCTATAGCAGCACAGCTCAAGCTCAAAGTATTTCAGCTAGATATCAAGTCAGCATTCCTAAATGGAGAACTCAAAGAAGAAGTCTATGTCGAGCAACCACAGGGCTACATAGTCAAGAAAGAAGAAAACAAAGTTTATCGGTTGCACAAAGCACTATACGGGTTGAAGCAAGCACCGCGGGCTTGGAATAGCAAAATTAATAGCTACTTCCACGAGAATGGATTTCAAAGAAGCCCGAGTGAACCATCTCTATATGTGAAGAAAAAAGGTGTAGACTTTCTTATCGTTTGCCTATATGTTGATGATTTAATTTATTGTGGTACTAACACCATGATGATTGAAGAATTTAAAAGAAAGATGAAAGAAGATTTTGAGATGACAGATTTAGGATTGATAAGATATTTTCTGGGACTACAAGTAAAACAAACTGAAGGAGAAATATTCATCAATCAAGAGAAATACTGCGAAGATGTTCTGAAGAGGTTCAACATGAACAATTGCAATCCAGTAGATACACCAGCATTGCTAAATGAAAAGCTATCAACAAACGATGGAGCGCCAAATGTGGATGCCTAAAGTTACAGAAGCCTAGTCGGATCGCTAATCTACCTCACAAACACTAGGCCAGACATATTGTATGTTGTAAGCATTGTGTCCAGATTCATGAGCAATCCAAGTAAGCTACACTATGGGGTAGCGAAGCGGATTCTTCGATATCTTTAAGGAACAAAGAGTATGGGAATCAAATACACAACAGAAGAAGACAATGCATTATCTGGCTACACTGACAGCGACTGGGCTGGATGCATTGATAATCGCAAAAGCACTTCAGGATATGTCTTCACTCTGGGATCTAAGGTAATATCCCGGACCTCAAAGAAACTACAGGTCATAGCTCTCTCATCTGCAGAAGCAGAGTATATTTCAGCTACAAATACCGCATGCGAAGCAGTATGGCTTCGAAGGATTTTATCTGATTTACAACAAGATCAAGAGTCACCGACTACTCTCTATTGTGACAGCAAGTCTGCAATAGTCATGACAAAGAATCTAGTCTTCCATGCTAAAACCAAACATATTGAGATTCATCATTATTTCATCATGAAGCTTGTTGAAGATAAGGAGATCGAGCTAGAGTTCATCTCAACAAATGAACAGCTAGCAGACATCTTCACAAAGTATTACCCTTCAAAAAGTTTATACTATTTAGAAATGAGTTAGGAATTACAAATTAAGGTGGGGTGTTAGAAGATAATTTGTAATTCTAAAAAACTCTAGGATATTTGTAAAAAAGTATGTAAAGTAGAAATATCTAGAATAATTTAGGAAGAAAATATATTAAGCATGGATGTATGTAGAATTATATAGAATTCTCTAGAATTTTAATGTATCATGAAAAATCTAAATATTCTAGAGAATTCCTTGTGAGGCTATAAATAGCCTTGAATGAAAGCTTAATTTGTAAATAAGCTTTGAAGCAATTTATACAAAGTTTCTTCAAGTTTTTAGCCTCTTCTCATTTTCCCTCCTATTTCCTCCATTCTCAATCCATCCCGCTTCCTCAACTCCAACAACATATTCATCAAATGAGAGAACATCGTTGTTGTGACTAGCGGAGCGCTCAACGCCTTGAGTGGCTGCATATATAAACCGGAATTAAATAATTCTTACTCTTCCTTATTTCATTTTTTTTAATTTGATTACATATAAAATCTAGCTAGATGTTCTTAATTAGATGTACATGAAATGCTGCCCATGGAAACATTTATTAGAGAAAACGATATATATTTATGTTTAAACAGCTGTGTGTTTGGGGCAGAAAACTGAACTTATCAATAACCCCCTTCATCAGCTAGTTTGCAAATGTCTACAATCTAGCTAGATGATACAGATTGGTACATTCCTCTTCCCTCTTGAATAAGCGACGGTACTACGGACACACGGAACGTTCAAATTAAGGTGCTCTGATTATCAACTCTCTTCTTGCTTGCCGAACTGTTTTTTCTCTCCACCATCTTCTCATACGTCGCTCGTTGCTTTTCCAGTCGTGTATGATGAACTTGGTCCGCTATCATATCCAGATTGTCCTGCCAAGGGCCCACTCAACATGTCCTGAAAATTTCATGGCAGAAAATTAGCTTGTATCGAACTGTCCTGAAAAGTTTATGGTAAAATACCTTCTTCGATCATCTGTTAATACTTGACTTCTACCATGTATCATCCTGAAAAGTTTATTCATACTTATCCCATGCTTTTGCCCCTCAAATGTAGGAAGATTTTCGATGTAAAATCTTTGCATTTTTCTTTATCTGCTTGCTGTGTTTTTTACTTGCGTTAAATTCACATTGACTGAGGAGCTTTCAAGTTCCTGCAGACTTTTACCTTACTATGAACTTAGGTAGGGTCATACCACTTTGCAGTTTTTGTCGAAAATTTAAATGAACTCCCTAAGCGGCTAACCCAGCCTGCAAAATAGTTGATAGAACATGTAATAGGATGGTCGGGGCAGTATAGGATGAGATCGAGCATAAAGAAATATTTTCGATGGTATTATGAAGGATAATGTACTTGTGATCTCTACTGCAAACTTCACAAACAGACAATGGTGGGCATTTTCTTTTAGAAGAATGTTGAAGGATCATCAGAATTTATCTGTAATCATTACCTGAGCAGAGACCTGGCTATGCCTCGGCTGTGTGTAGTTGTTGTTGATTCCCATAATGTAGGGTTGCATATTATCCTCGGCAATTCCTCTCAACCTGTTGAGCTCTGGCAGTACGACTTTGCTGAGGTCAGGGCGATCTTTCCTCCTCAGCTCTGCACACTTGAGTGCCACTTCGGCCAAAGACAAGGCCTCCTCAACAGGCCAGTCAAGCACTGTAGGGTCCAGCATCTCCTTAAACGTCCCCCTCTCAATAGATCGCTCCACATGATGTGTCAGCCCCATGGGAGGCTTCGCAGTAATAATTTGCAGTAGCATGATGCCGAGGGAGTAAACATCAGACTTTGTCCCAAGCATACCGGTTTGCTGGTACTCTGGGTCAATGTAGCAGAAGGTGCCAGCAGTGGAGGTCATGTGATACTGGGTGACAGTGTCGGCCACAGATGGGGGGACTAGACGGGCAAGGCCAACATCACTAATCTTACTTCCATAGTTGCGATCTAGGAGTATATTTGCCGGCTTTAGGTCTCGGTGGACCAGTGGCTCTGGCTTTGTCTGATGGAGGAAGAGAAGTCCCGTCCCAATTTCCGCAGCTATGACGAACCGTTGCTGCCAGGGAATGGGGGGCGTGTTCCCTCGCCGGAATAGTCGGTCTTCGAGGCTCCCATTGGCCATGTATTCGTAGACGAGGCAACCGAATTCTGGGCAGGCACCCAGGAGGAGGACCATGTTTGGATGTCGAATACAGCACAGGATTTCAATCTGATCAATGCAGTTGATAATGTGAAGGTCAGATTTTGGGTATCCTCAAAGTTGCTTTTTTACTTATATCTATCACTATGTTGCATCATCGTAGCAGGTGATTTTTCTATGTGGCTCTTTTGGCTGTATATTTTGCTTTAGTTTAGTTGCAATTAATCTTCCCTTGCTTCATAATGATCATGTGTTAATGGAAAAAGGCTTCTTCGATCATGGTGATACTATCATTATTTTGCTTATTACTATCATAACTCTCTACTAGGTCTTGAAATATCTTTATGTCGCGAATACTAGCCTTTATACCCAATATTTGATAGGTTAGGTTAAATAGGAACGACCAATATGAACAGTGATCCTATAATTGAGTAAGGTCTCCTCTAAAAGTTGTCTATTAGACAAATTCAGAGTCTTTCTTATGAAAGATATCCAGACTGGGCTTGAATAGAGTCTGGGTGGCCTTCTTTTGCTTCAATTAGGCCAAAATTAGATGCCAAGTCTCAACCATCAACTATTTGGAGCTTCATACCTCTTGCTGAAACTGTGATCTTCCTTGAGCTGCATCAGGACGAAGGACCTTGATGGCAACTGGTGTATGATCGAGAAAGCCTTTAAACACGGGACCATAGCCACCCTCTCCAATCTTCCGGTTCTCCGCAAAGTTTTCAGTGGCTATTTCAATCTCTTCTATCGAGTACTTCCTGTACCGAATATCACCATGTGCTAGAGAGTTCAATGTTCTCTTCTTCTCCTCTGATTCTCGGACGACCATATTTTCTGCGTTGATCCTCTTCTCTGCTTCTAACTCAGCTATTCTTTTTGATGCTTCAGCAGCCT